AACAAAATTAAACAGCCCTTTATGCTAAAAACTCTCAATAAATTAGGTATCAGTGGAATGTATCTCAAAATAATAAAAGCTATTTACAACAAACCCACAGCAAATATCATACTGAATGGGCAAAAACTGGAAGCATTCCCTTTGAAATCTGGCACTAGACAAGGATGCCCTCTCTCACCACTCCTATTCAATATAGTATTGGAAGTTCTAGCCAGAGCATTCAGGCAAGAAAAAGAAATAAAGAGTATTCAAATAGGAAAGGAGGAAGTTAAATTGTCTCTATTTGCAGATGACATGATTGTAATATTTATAAGACCCCATCGTCTCACCCCAAAATCTCCTGAAACTGATAAGCAACTTCAGCAAAGTCTCAGTATACAAAATCAATGTGCAAAAATCACAAGCATTCCTATGCACCAATAACAGACTAACAGAGAGCCAAATCAAGAGCTAACTCCCATTCACAATTGCTACAAAGAGAATAAAATACCTAGGAATACAACTAACAAAGGATGTAAAGGACCTCTTCAAGAAGAACTACAAACCACTGCTCAAGGAAATAAGAGAGGATACAAACAGATGGAAAAACATTCCATGCTCACGGTTCGGAAGAATCAATATCATGAAAATGGCCATACTGCCCAAAGTAATTTATAGATTCAGTGCTATCCCCATCAAGCTACCAATGATCTTCTTCACAGAAATGGAAAAAAACTACCTTAAACTTAATATGGAGCCAAAACAGAGCCTGCATAGCCAAGTCAATTCTATGCAAAGAAAACAAAGCTGGAGGCATCACACTACCTGACTTCAAACTATATTACAAGGCTACAGTAATCAAAACAGCATAGTACTGGTACCAAAACAGAGACATAGACCAATGGAACAGAACAGAGGCCTTGGAGGCAGTTCCACACATCTACAACCATGGGATCTTTGACAAGCCTGACCAAAACAAGCAATAGGGAAAGGATTCCCTGTTTCATAAATGGTGTTGGGAAAACCAGCTAGCAATGTGCAGAAGAAGAAACTGGACCTCTTCCTGACATCTTACACTGAAATTAACTCCAGATGGATTAAAGACATAAGACCTAACATCATAAAAACCCTAGAAGAAAATCTAGGCAAAACCATTCAGGACATAGGCATAGGCAAGGACTTCATGACCAAAACACCAAAAGCAATGACAACAAAAGCCAAAATAGACAAATGGGATCTAATTAAACTCCAGAGCTTCTGTACAGCAAAAGAAATAATCATTAGAATGAACCGGCAGCCAACAGAATGGGAAAAAATTTTTGCAATCTACCCATCTGACAAAGGGCTAATATCCAGAATCTACAAAGAACTAAAACAGCTTTACAAGAGAAAAACAAACAAACCCATGGGCAAAGGATATGAACAGTCACTTTTCAAAAGAAGACATATATGAAGCCAACAAACGTATGAAAAAATGCTCATCATCACTGGTCATTAGAGAAATGCAAATCAAAACTACATTGAGATACCACGTCACGCCAGTTAGAATGGTGATCATTAAAAAATCTGGAGACAACAGATGATGGAGAGGATGTGGAGAAACAGGAACACTTTTACACTGTTGGTGGGAGTGTAAATTAGTTTAGCCATTGTGGAAGACAGTGTGGCAATTCCTCAAGTATCTAGAAATAGAAATTCCATTTTGTCCCGAAGGTATATTTCCATTTATACTTCCAAATATATCTTATAATACTATATTTCAGTTTATTGCTTCATTGACAATATTTTCTTTGCATGTTTACATGTATTATTTGCCATTATTTTATCAAACTGCACAAAAAATTACCATTTTGATTTAAAAAGTCAGTAGAATCATGTAAACATACCTCAGTGTTACTATGGCCAATCATACAGACAACACATAATTATTTTACATTCCCTATGACTGTAGTTTTAGCTTGTTTCCAATTTTTAGCTATTATGATCAATACCATAGTGAACCTCATAGTCCATACAACTTTTAGAATATATTTTAAAGCTAGAATTTTAAGAAGAAGGATTTTAAGTCAAAGAAACTTTTCAAAGTTTTTGAGTCTTATTACCTAATCACTTACCAAAAAGCTTGCATTTAATTTGCTTTTCAGCTTGCAGTGCTGAGAATACTTGTTTTACTGCAACTGCACAAGCATTAAATGCTGCACAATCTAGCATTTTGCTAGCTCGTGAGACAATTTTAAGTTTTTTTATTATAATTGACCTTAGGTGAACTTGGAATCAGTCAGATTCAGTAGCAAGAAATATAATTCATCTAATCTAGTTTACAAATATTTATTTCACAACATGCTTTTCATGAGAAAGAGGCCTAGGTTGAGCTTTGAGATATGACTTTAAGAGCAGCACCACAGCACTGGTCACAGAGAGAACTGCTCCTGCCTCATGAAGCCACCACAGTAGAGAAGCCTGTGTAGGAGAAGCAAACACCACTGCAGCAATTGCTGGGGGAAATGGCAGAAGCAGCACAAAACATGTCCTTATCTCATTTCTGTCTTCAAAATTAAATAACATCCAGAACCATAGCTCTAATGGAGTCCAATAAATGTAGTTTTGAGATTTTTGTTTCAGCTTCTAGAGTGCAAAAAGACCCCCGAGAAGGTAGGTGGAATAGATGTTAAGTGCTAATCTCCCATATCCACAAGAACATTATTCATGTGTTTGTGATGCTTGTTAACTTATTAGATGAATTGTCAATTTTTAACCCTTTCTGAGCTAACTTGTAAAAGCCAAAGACCAGAAAGATACGATATCATTATTTCTAAGAAGCATATAGCATTATCCTTAGCAAAACTGGAGACCTGATGAAAGTGAGAAAAGGAAAAGGCAGGAGATGATTCCATTTACTCCCATATTGCGGGGTTTCCAATATCTAAGGTAAATTTCTTTGTATATATGTCAATATATAAGCATTAAAAAGAAATAATTTTTTGTTGTGTCTAATACAGCAGCATGGTAATTCAAATATTACTATTTTTCCCTTCCTGATAATAATTGGACTTGATTAATTTATTAAGTTCTTAAATAACTTGTTTCTTCATTGAGTGAATTATGATCATTTAAGCATAATCAGTAATAAATCAAAGAATCTTTCATTATCCCTCACTCACCTACAAGGGCTGCTGTGTTCTATAATTCCAGGGTTCACTGATTACATAGATTATTATGTGAATGGCACCCAGTGGAGTTGTGCTTCAAGGCAGTGGCCCTGTCAATTCCCTTAATTCATTAGATAACTGAGTCTACTTTTTTTTTTTTCCTTAGACTAACTTTAAGAAAGATGGTGATACCCGAGGGAACTACAGAAGGCTATAGGGAACTGGGCCCTTAGAAAACCTAGGAGGGCCTTTTTTCAGAGATGGTGTGAACTCAGAAGCCCACCAACTCAGGCCCACCAACATTCTTCTCCAAGGAAATCCCTTTCTATTCATGCCTTTTTGCCATTTGACTTAACAATCAAGATTGAACAATGTTGCCTGTGGATGATAAGGCTTTTACTTTGAGGGTTGTTTGGAAGACTAAACCTAAAGAAGTAGTGGATTAATTTAAGAAAACAGGAACAAATCTTTTGCAAAGGCAAAAAATTAACAGTTCCTTTCAAAGTCCCTCTTCAAAGCCTTTGATTGAGAGTTGACTCTTAACCCATGGCTTTTATGAAATTGTCAGCGGTATTGCACTATATCGCCCTGCATCCCTAGGGGAAGATTTCTGAACCCTGACCTCTTCTCTCCAGCTACTCCTATTTAAGAACCAAAGGCAAATATGACCTCTGTGAGTGGACAGATGAGGGGCCATCCCAAGTAGAGACTAATTCCCTATAGAAGGGATTTTAAATTCTGTTGTTAGGGAGTCAGAAGGCTACCACACTTTGGGTGTTTATGACAACCATTGTTTCTTATTTTCCTGTAGGCAAGGGAAAGAGTTGAGCTGTGAGGGGAACCTGGGTTTAGGTAAGGGGTGGTGGGGGTGAAAGAGATTGAGAGAGAGAGACAGAGAGAAACAGAAAGACATGGTTAGAGCAATTTCATCTTTTTTGGAAAGGCTACAGTCTTCAGTTACCATGTTTTCTAGATTTTCTAAGACTGTCTGCATTTTAAATATTTACTTTTATTATCCCCATAAAACATCAAAATATTCTGGATATATAAATATTTTGACAAATGGTAACTGAATGAATCAAGTCATTAATCATTACTAGTGTGTGAACTCATTCTCTCGGTTCTGAGCATGAATTCAAGGCTATCAAATGGAAAGTTGATGTCACTGATTAGTGACTTCTGGGCAGCAGGGAAGCTATCAATGGGCTCTGGCACTGAAAATTCTTTTGAAATGCGAATCGAGATTCAGAGGCTTGTCAAGAGATGTTTGGGGAAAAAAACAGAAAATACAATAGTTTCCCTTTATTTGCAATGGATATGTTCCAAGATCCCTAGTGGGTGCTTAAAACTTTGAGTAGTACTGAACCCTCTCCTGGCTGAGCATCCTTAATCTGCAAATTTAAAATCCAAAAGCTCCATAATCCAAAACTGTCTGAGCATCCACATGACGCCATAAGTGAAAAATTCCATGTATAATACTTAACACAAATTTTGTTTCATGAGCAAAATTATTAAAAATATTATACTAATTACTTTCAGGCTATGTGTATAAGGTATATATGAAACACAAGTGAATTTCATGTTTAGACTTGGGTCCTATCCCCAAGATATCTCATTATATATATGCAAATATTCCAAAATCCAAAAAAATCAAAAATTTGAAACACTTCTGGTTCCAGGCATTTCCAGTAAGGGATATTCAAACTGTATATGCTATGCATGAATTTCTTTTTCCTTCTTTACAATTTCATGAAGAAGTTGTAGAAGATGCGTTCTTACTGCAGATCTTAACAAGTATAGCATACGATTTTTTTCTTTCCTTATTAAGTGGAAAACATCTACTTTTTCACTTAAAGAAAACATTTTGTGACTTCTCTTTTACATATTCAAATTGCCAGCACCACTACTCTTGCACTTTGGAGCTATGATTAAGTAAAATAAAGATGACTTGAACTCAAGCACTGTGACATAGCAACCAAGATGGCTATTGAGTGACTCACAGTCAAGGAGCATACATACCATGGACACTGGTTGAGGGCAGGATTCATGTCCCAGATGGGATGGTGTGGGACCGTGTGACATTTCAGCATGCTATTCCAAATGGTAAGAATCTTAAAACTTATGAATTGTTTATTTCTGAAAATTTCCATGTAATATTTTTGGACTGTGGATGACCACCAGTAATTGAAACCTCAGAAAGCAAAATCTCTGCAAAGGGGAGACTACTAAAAATAATTACTGAACATGTGAATTTCTTTTCACAAGTGTAAGTGGGAAGATACGCTAGCAGTTTCACTCACTTTCACTGATGAACAAAGACAAATGCAAGTATTGCACTAATTGTTATATGCTTTTTGCACATACAATTTTGATTTTTCATTTAAATTTTCCCCTTTCAATAAGACAGTTCTTCAAATTTATAACTATGATTTCACTGTCATATTTTTCTAAGATGTTTTACATAAATAAGCTCAGGAATCGGAGAATGTTTTCAAGTGAGGAAGGCAAAGTAGCTAAAGGCAGGGATTTGGGAGCTGGCTGAAGAATCAAAGCCAGTTTCTGCCACTTACTAGATTTGTAATAAATTGCCTAATCTCTCTACAATTCAGGTCTCTTACTTTAAAAATGGAGGAAATAAATATTTCATAAATGTGTCATGGTTGAGGATTAAATGAACTAATGTTTGAAAAGTGTTTGATGCAGAGTGGGTATTCAGTAAATGATAGCTGTTATGAAAAATACTCTTGTGAGCAAAAGTCTTAAAGTCAATTCAAGATTCATGACGTCCCCTCATCTCTCTACTATGTGACTAGCTATGCTCTAGATGGTGTAGGATCTGTTAGTCTGAACTTCTGAGTGAGACCCATGCAGAGTCCCCTGCTGATGAGAACTAAGCATGTGGAATGAGCTAGAAATGTAGTTTTTGCCTTTTTAAACCACTGAAATGCAGGGATTGTTTGTTACTGCAGCCTAAGCAGCCCTTTGGAGGAAACTCAGATGCTTCCACTACCACCATATCTAGGACTCAGGGACAGAGATGATTTGGACAGTGCACAGAACAAGGGACAAGTAGGCATATGAGTGTAGGACAGAGTGGTCATGATTGGCAGGTGATGGCTACTCCAGCAGTGAGCAGTATTGTAGAAAATGCATAGAACCCCATATCCTACCTGACATTGAATCAAGAAAAATAGTACTCATCTGGTGAATATACTGGTTCAGTTCCAGGAAAGTCTCAAGGGAGGTTGAAGAGGTTTGAAGACCTCTTGTATGTTTTTATAGGCACTGTCTTCTTTCCTTCACAAAACAGGATGGAATTATCATGCAAATGTCTGCAGAGAAGGAAGCACAGATTAGGTGACTGTGGCTACTATGAGGGCCAAAAAGGCCCTCCCACCCATCCTATGGGATGTACCACCTGTGGCCAGTAGGCCTATGGAGAACGGAGGGACTGGGGGCACCTGCTCACCCCTGTACCATGCCTGTTCTGCACCTTCAGCTCTGGATCCCCCAGAGAGGGACTGCTGCCTGCATCTGGGTTCCTGGAAAAATAGCAATCTAACAGGACGTGTTTTCAGATCCCTCAAAAAATAATTGCTTTATATTCCCTCCAAGTAGGCACACCCCATTACCAAACCTGGAATTTAGACCTTTTCTAAATAGAAAAGCATGAACTTTGTGATAAAGCTTCTTCAGGCCCTTTATCTCCCTGTCCAGGCCAGTGTGTTCTCCAAAAAAGAGGGAAGATGGGCTCCCAAGAGATCACAGTGTCCACCTGCATCCTACCAGCTGAGTCACTTGTCTGCTCCTGCCGCATTGACCTTTATTGAGCAAAACCTTGGAGTACTGGCATTTCAACCACATCCAGGAGGCTGACCACATCCAGGAGAATGGTAAGCAATCTTTCATATGTTGAATTACCAGTGCCCTGATCAAACCCTGGACAGAACATCATCATTTAAATAGCTCATGTCCTGATTCAGTGTTTCCTGAGCAATATGCCACAGAACCCAAGTTCTGAAAGACATAGATGCTGGGCTACTAAGGGCTTCTCAGGTCAAAGCATTTGGGGGTTCATTGTATTCTGTTTTCCCTTCTCAGCAATTTGAACTGCTTATTAAGACATTAAAGTTATTAAAGTTCTGACAGGTCCTCAAATAAAAAGTAATCTCTTTGACTCAAATAGATTGATTTTGCTATTTTTCTGAAATTTATTTGAATTTGATTATGAACCATGTTTAGTATAGCAAAATGATTAACATCTTAAGAAATAATGAATTTTTCTCAAATTTATTTATTTTTCTGTATTTTTCTCAAATTTATTTGAATTTGGCTATGAGCCATGTTAGTATAGCAAAATGATTAACATCTTAAGAAATAAGGAACATTGCATACTGACTTAAGTATCGCTCCCTTGATTTATCCCTATGACTTGGGGCAGCACCAACTCTTACCCTGTCCAGAGGAATAAGTTAGGTTGGAGATGGACCATGTTCAGTCCAGCCAAGATGTTTGCATGAAGTCCCTGAAGGAGTCAGCCCTTTCCAGCTGGGAGACTTCTGGAATAAACAAAGATGTTCATGAATTTGGTGGGTTCATTGGGCATTACTAATTTTTCATTCAACATTTCTTTTGCTTTTTTATCTGAATGTTTCAGTAATTGATCATCTCAAGATCAGTAAGGAATTCAGCTGGTCATTGAACACCTGAGGTTTTCTGGTGTTCAAATATGCCTATTTTAGACAGGGACTTTCTGTCTAAATTAAGAATCTTGACATGGGGAGATTATCCTAGAATATGTGTGTGGCTCTAATGTAATCACAGGGTGTTTATAAGAGGGAGATAAGAAGGTTCATGAGAGAAAAAAATGTGATGAGGGAAGCAGAGGTCAGAGTAATGCACTTTGAAAATGGAGGAAGAGGCCATGAGCCAAGGACCATGCTGAGACCACCAGAAGCACAAGCGGTTGAGGCAGACCTAGCAGTGCAGTATCAGAACAGGAACTGTGGGCTAGTTTCTTGGACAGGATTGATTGTACCTTCTGCTGCATGCACCCAGCACCCCAACGAGTCCCCCTTTTTCTGGAAACCAGAGCACATATCAAGAGGTGGCGTCACTTCAGGAATAGGAAAGTCATGTGACCAAAACAAGTTGTGGCCATGCATCATGGATACAACAAACAGAAACAATATGGAAGAACATGTGTGCAGAGGGGATACCTACATATGTGGCACCTGAAATTTGGGGCCACTCAGAGATCGTATTCTGGGAAGCCCAGCCTGTTGGGGATGTCTTGCCCTTTAGAATATGATACTCTACAGACAAGCTTAAGATAATTTGAATTCCTGTCCCTTCCATCTATATATGCTATATTCTTTTAAAATAAAAGCTACCTCCATGCACTCCCAAGGAACCTCTTGTTTTCTTTTTGTTTATTTATTTGAGGCGGGGTAGGAGGGCATTGCTTTTTCATTTCATCCTTTTGGGGGCATCCTTGTTTTAGTAGATGCTTTTCAAAGTCTTTCATAATAATGCTTACTTGTCCAGCCTCCTTTTCCTATAGAGTATGGCCAGATGGATAGTGTCAACCAAGTAGTAGAGTCACACATTTGCTGTTATACTTAGTATGACTAATTCATCCATTTCACTTTGATGTACAATTGTCCTTGTTTACCTAGAACAGATCCTTGACAGTATAGCTTCCAGCCCCATCACCTCCTTACTCTTACTAGCACATTAAGAGTCAGACTCAGCAGCTGGGATCTAGAAGAACATCTACATCCTTGCTATTCAAAGTGAAGTCCACTGACCAGCATCATCAGCATCACATAGGAGCTTGCAAGAAATGTAGAATCTTGGGCCACATCTAAGACCTGCTAAATGAGAAACTGTGCTTTAACAAGAGTCCCAGGTGACAAGTATAGCACTCCTCTAGAAGAATCCACAACATATCAGTGTCATACAAAGGTCTGGGATCAAGCTGTGGGAAAGAAAACCATGTGGAAAATGGAATACCCCATCCTTCAGGGGGATGGATACCATCTGTTTGGGACTGCACGGTGTTGGAGGCTGTTATTCTGATGGCATTCATACGCGAACTGCTTCCTAACTCTGATTTTTACTCTTCTACACTGCTCTGAGTATGCTGAGAACCTGCTATTGGGATAACCAGTCATCTCAGATGCCTGGGACTGAGGCAGTTCTCAGACATGGGACTTTCCATTTTAAAACAAAGACTGTCCTTTCATACATTTTGCTGGTGGGAATGTAAACAGCTACAGCCACTTTGGAAAACAGTTTGACAGTTCCTCAGTAAGTTAAACATAGAATAACCATATGACCCAGCAATTTCACTCCTAAGGATATATACCCCAAATAACTGAAAATATATGGCCACTTAAAAACTTGAATAGGGGGACTGGGCATGGTGGCTCATGCCTGTAATCCTAGCACTTTGGGAGGCCGAGGAGGGAGGATCACAAGATCAGGAGCTCAAGAACAGCCAACATAGTGCAACCGCATCTCTACTAAAAATACAAAAAAATTAGCCAGGCTGGGTGGCAGGCGCCTATAGTCACAGCTACTTGGGATTCCTGAGGCAGGAAAATTGCTTGAACCTGGGAGGCAGATGTTGCGGTGAGCCGAGATTGCACCATTGCACTCCAGTGTGAGCGACACAGCAAGACTCTGTCACAAAACAAAACAAAACAAAAAACAACAACAACAAAAACTTGAGCAGGGGCTGGGCACGGTGGCTCACACTTGTAATCTCAACACTTTGGGAGGCTGAGGCGGGTGGATCTCCTGGGGTCAGGATTTTGAGATCAGCCTGGCCAACATGGTGAAACCCTGTCTCTACTAAAAATACAAAAATTAGCCTGATGTGGTGGTATGTGCCTGTAATCCCAGCTACTCAGGAGGCTGAGGCAGGAGAATTGCTTGAACTCAGGAGGGATCCTAGGAGTCAAAGCTTGCAGTAAGCTGAGACTGCATCACTGCACTGCAGCCTAACCTGGGTGACAGTGAGACTTCATCTCAAAAACAACACAAAAAAAACTTGAACAGGTGTATTCATAGTGGAACTATTCACAGTGGCCAAAAGGAAGAAGCAACTCAAGTGTCCATCAACTGAATGAATAAACAAAATGTGTTTTATCCATACAATGGAATATGATTCAGCCATTAAAAATAATGAAGCACTGAAACATAGATTATCAGCCATTAAAAATAATGAAGCACTGAAACATAGATGAACTATAACATAGATGAACCTTGAAAACACTATGCTAAGTGAAAAAAGGTAGTCACAAAGGCCCACTTACTATATAATTCCTTTTATCTGAAATGTCCAGAAGTGGGAAAATTCATAAAACAGGAAGCAGAGACAGGATCCAAGATGGCTGTTTAAGAACAGCTCACGATTGCAGCTCCCAGTGAAAGCGCAGAGGGTGAGTGGATGCCGCATTTTTATTGCCCACAGACTAGGAAATTCCCAGGTGGAGGAGCTCCACAGGTCACCAGTGCAGCTGTTTCGGCCAGCGCAGCTGTGCCGGCCGGGGCCACTGCTTTGCCCCGCGGCTGCTTTGTTGGCACCCCGGAGCAGTGGTTCTCCGTACAAAATACACCGGTCCGGGTGCCCTTTTGGCTGGTGACTGGAGCCACGGGAAGTCGCCCATTCGTCTGTTTAAAAAGGGGAATGAGCAGAGAACCAGGACAGTAGATTCCAGGGCCAAAAAAAAAAAAAGTGCCACAAACCTCAGTGCCGCTGTTTAAGCCAGCACAGTGAGTGGCCGCAGGGGAAAACAAACAGACCCCGGCGCCTCTTCAACAGGCGACTGGAACACCAACTTAAAAAAGGCTCTGAGGCAGGGAGCCAGACGATCAGGCTCGGCTGGTCCCACCCCCACAAAAGAACAGCAATCAGAAACTCTGGATTGAGAGTTTCACAGCAAGTGCAGCTGAACCCGGGATGGTCCAGCTCTGTGGGGGAGGTGCGTCCGCCATTACCGAGGCAGCCTGCCATGAGGGAGGTAGTCGGCCAATGCTAAGGCAGCCCACCATTGCCAAGGCAACCCACCATTGCTGAGGCATCCCGCCGTTGCCAAGGCAACCCGCCATTGCTGAGGCAGCCTGCCGTTGCCAAGGCAACCCGCCACAGCAGAGAGACTCCACCTCAACAGAGGCTGGCCACCATCGCCAAAGCAGTTCTAACTACACCCATATAAACAGGACTGCAGGGAAGTTCACTCGGCAGTGGGGCGGAGCCCACAGCAGCTCAGAAGCCTCTACAGGCAGACAGTGACTAGGCTGCCTCCTTGCTAGGCAGGGCAGGTCTGAAGGAAAAAACAAAAGAAGGCAGCAGCATAATGGAAACTCATAAATAAAGCCTTAAATCCCTGGGACAGAGCACTTGGGAACAACAAGCAGTTCATGAGTTCTGCTGCAGCAGACCTAAATGTACCTGCCCAGCAGCAATGAATGAACAACAACAGAGCTCACAGCTCACCATTTGAGCTCCTATAAAGAAGAGACCATCTCCTCAAGCAGCTCCCTGACCCCTATATACCCAAAGAGACACCTCATAAAGGAGAGATCAGATTGACACTAGGCAGGTATCCTTCTGGGACACAGACAGCAGAAGAAGAAAACTGGTAACAACCCTTACTGTTCAGCAACTGCTGCAGGTGAACCCCAGGCAAGCAGGACCTGGAGTGAACCTCAGCAGACCTACAGCAGAGGGGCCAGACTGTCAGAAGGAAAACCAAGAAACAGAAATAACCTCATCATCAACAAACAGAACGTCAATCTGAAAGATTTGAGACCCAATCTGAAAGCCAGCAACTACAAAGTTGACAGGTGGATAAATCCTTAAGGATGGGAAGGAACCAGCGCA